TGCCGGCTCCGTCGTCCATTTCTCCTTGTCAACAGGCTGATGTAGCAGTTGTAAATTCTTATCCGAGTCCCATTTCAGTATATTAAGCACATTCTCCATAAAATTATCGGGAATTATTGTGAGCTAAAAGATAACGCATATGTATGTATACATTTTCAATAGGTTCATCTACACTAACTATTTACTTAATTGGAATTTCACACTCACATTTTCGTACTCCTTCTCCAGCTCTGTTGCGTTGTTGAGTATTTCCGGATAACCGATCCGTTCATTCATTGCGTTCGCCTTCTCCCTAGCCACCGCACGCGTCTCGTCATCCATCCAATGATTTTCTGCCAGCAGCTCATTGAATGCCTCGCGCAGCGTATGTATCATTTCCAGCGCTGTATCCTTGCTCTCCTGATTGAAATTGTCGCGTATGAAGAGAGCACCCACCGCCAGGCCCAGCTTTTTATTCGTCCATTCTACACACTGCGACCAACGCATGCGCTCCGACTGCACGCCCAACAGTATCTTTCGGAACTCGATGCGTTCTCGCTGATACTCGTCGATCATGTGTGCCATTATGGACATCACCAAACGCCAGATAACATAATTGTGTACCACACGCCGATCGGCGGTCTCTACTATTTTTCCCATTTCCACAAGATATGGCATAGCATAGCTGACGAGCACTTCATCCGGCAACAATTGAATATCTGGTCCCAAAACTGTTTGTAGAAATATTGTCCAATTCAGTTGTGGCACTTGTCGCTGCAATTCGGTTAAAGTGATTTTCTTATAGATGGCGCTGGTGTCGTGACGATCTGCTTCGGGCAGCGAAGCATTCACTAATTTGATCTCGAGTTGCACCACCGCGTCTAGCTCCTGTGCTGCAGTCGCGGGATCAGCACCCAATAATATTGCCGTCTGTGTCATGTACTTATGGTAGGCTTTCAAATCATTCTCACTGCTCAGCTTCAGGTAGTAATCGCGTGAGGGGAGCGCCAGCTGCAGCTGGTCGATTTGCAAGATGTTAATCGAAGAGTTCTTATCATCGGCGCCCACATAGAGTTCGACAAGTACTGGTTCACTATAATTACCACGCATGAGGCCCATTAACTGCTCGATGGTCATGTTCGGTGGCTGCCAATTGGGTGTGATCACAGGCCAGCCGCCGAGCGATTTGAGCACCTCCTTCAGGCGACCCTCTCCAATTTTGCGTATTTGAGCTAGAAGGGAGAAATTGCTTAGTACTCGTATCCTTTTAACATATGTATGTATGTACATATTTATTATAATTTTTGTTTGAGTGTGCGTGGCCAAATGAGCCTCGTCTCGACTTACGTAAATCCATGCAGCTTTTGTAAAACTGTTTCGCCTTGATTGTGGCGTTGTTGTCATTGTCATTGATGGGCTCCTCAAGCACGCCTTTTAACACCACCTGTTGCTCGTCAGAGAGAACCTAGCAGAAATATTTGTTTCCATATATTATACATAATTTATGTCTATGTGTTAAAAAGCAATTTTCCTATGAAGCCTAATAAACATTTAACGAGAAATGCAGAAAAATTAAGCAGCATCAATGAAAACCTTTTCGATCGCGAAAGAACCTTTCTTTACTTGAAACACAGATCGTCTAACGCTCCTCTGGAAAAGACTGAGTAGCAACGACTAAAAGAATTAATTGAAATCGGTTACACGAGTATCTATGATAAGCTTTAGTCTGTGGTCTTCAAGTGATTGGGTAATTTCTTCGCATTTTCTTCCGCTTTGAAATGTGTTTATTGAAAACTGTGGGTTAAATATATTTCTGTGTTCGTATGGAATAGTAGCTTATGTGGCATTCCCTTTATTCTTTACAGGGACGAAAAATAAGCATTGTTTTTATAAATTTTAGCAAAAAAAAAACAAGTTTTAAAACAATTTCAACTATTCACATGTATTTGTGTTCGTACGTTCTACTGTAATTTACAATTATTTTTATTTTTCGAGTTTAATCAATAAAGTTTAAAAATAATAATTAATATTTGAGTTATTTTTTTCGCTCAAAACAAATAATTATTACTTGATTTTTATTCTTTCGATCAAAAATAATGATTATTTGCTGATTATTATTTTTTCGCTTAAAGATAATAATTATTATTGAGTTTTATTTTTTCACTTGAGAATAATGATCATTCAAAATACTCAAAAGCTATACCAGCTAGCATTAAGTCCCAAAAGTTTCAGGTCAAAAGTCAAAATTTCAGTAGATTGCGTCTGTATGGTTTTTTTTTTTAATTTCATAAATAATCATTATTTTTAAGTAAAAAAAAGTAAAAGTAAAACTCAATAATAATTTTTATTTCCTAGGGAAAAAATAAAAATCATAAAATAATCATTATTTGTGATCGAAAAAATAAAAATCAAATAATAATTATTTCCCTTGAGCCAAAAAATAAAACTCAATAATAATAATTATTTTTAAGCGAAAAAAAATCATAAAATAATGATTAAATGCTGACTTAAATTATTTTACTCATAATGATTAGCGTCCCTGATTGTTTAAACGACGTGGAATTTTTTGCTGAGACTTAATACGAATATAATTTGCCAAAAGTTCTTCAACGGCTCGGCGCCAGTGACATATTGAGGATAAAAAAGTGCCGAGTAGTAAAATAAAAGTGCCAAAAAAGGTGCCATCTTGTTTAATCCTTCCCATTTAGCAATTAAATAAGAACAACATCTCTAAAACAAAAGGGCAATGCCAAAATAAGATAAACCAGTTAAATAATCTTTAGAAATGAGAAAATTGTGCCAAATTGGAAACATTAAGTGCCATTTGATGTAAAATAGGGCCAAAAATGCCACGGTTTGAGCCAAGTTGGCAGCCCTTAACACAGAGATATTTTAACTTTACAGAGTGCTTATGGTCGATAACCTGTCTGAGATGGACCAAAATTGTATTCGCTTGCGATTCCGGCTCTGACTGGTTTCACTGTAGTAACCAAAAATTATAAGATACCCAAAGTAAAAAAAAAAAATGAAAATCTTGAAAAAATAACACTGACTTATTAAAATTTATACGTACATACTATACATATCGTTACGTTAATTCACCACAGCCCTAACCAGCAAATTTTCTATTTTACAGGAGAATCAAAAAACATTCTAAAAGAAGAAAATACTAATACTTTAAAATTTTTAGCAAAGGTGTATTTTATTATATCCTATCAAAATCTGTGAAAAACGCAGTTTCTAAAGAAATGTGGGTTCGGGCTTTTGTGAATTAAGGTACCGATATGTATTTTAACCTTACCTCGAATGTACTAATGGAGCTGCGATCTTCGGGTATGATATGTATCTTGTTCCATGTGCCACAGGCGAACTGAAAAAAGTTTGTGCAAGGGTCCGCTGTTGTATCCATGGCCGAAAGCAACGAGGCAGCTGAAGAAGGAAAATCAAGTACAAATTTACATAAGTATGTAGGTACATATGTGTGTTGTATGCTTATATCTTTCAATTAAAGACTACTTCACTTATAATTACGGTTACCATTCGTACCAATTTTGGCGGAATAGTACCGGGGGGCGTAGGATGCGAGCGCGATGTCGAACGCGGCACTTTGAAAATTGTATACTTACAAATCCGTCCATTTAACTTGTTCATGTACCACTTTTTGTCAAATGTAACTGGGTGACTACCTACATATGTGCACTATTTTGCTTTATTACTCAAAAGTTGGTCTTATTGCTCAACGAGAAATGATATAAAGTAAATTTGTGTTATTTGACATTCAATTGGGAAATAACACAAATTTGCGTTATTGCCGTTTGTGTTATTTCCCCTCCCCCCCTTGCTTTCAGTAAAAATATCCGTTATTGTGCTTTTTATAAAACTACCATAAATTGAGCATAGCAATTGAAAGCAAATTTTTTGTTTACTTTTGGCAGTTTTTTTGCTATTGGGGACTTGTGTGCGCCTGTTATTCTTCGTTCGTAACTGTGATACACCTAAACTTTTTAATGGAACCAGGCTGGTAGTAAAACAAATGAAGGCCAATTATAATTGAAGCAACAATTATAACTGCCACAGATCTTACAATTGAATTTAAATGCCGTCAGTTTCCTCTGGGGCTAAGCTTTGCCATGTCGGCAAAAGAACTGCAGGGTCAAGCCAAAAAAGGTGCAAAAAACACTTGCTTTATTTAGGGCTAGATATTGATCGGATGCTCCCGAGTGGGAAATCCGAATAATATATATCTCTATATACTTATTTGTTCACCACGACCGACGTCGGAAACTAATTAAATAAATTTACAATATCGATGCGAAAAGCTTTTAAAAACGTTTCTATTTGTTTCATTTGTTGTTTAACGTAATAAGTCTTACCATACGTCTATGGCTCGTATACCTAAGCAAACAGGTTGTACTCCGCATTCACGCACACACACATACGTATGCATTTAAATATGTATGTACTACATTTGTATGTGCAAAAGCACATTCAAGTGTCCGCTCTAAACCTTTTAGAATTCATTGAGAAGTTAAGTTTTCAAACAAGGAAATGTGTGCAAATGTCAGTGTATAACTTTATCGAAAGAGGTCAGGGTAAATGGGTTGTGGTTGTTGGTGTTGGGATATGTAGGAAAACTTTAGGTGCATATACAACAACATACATACATCGCCATATGTATCTAACTGCAAAAAACAAAAAAAAACATACATAGATATGAGCCGTTTATTTTCAAAATGACATAAGTGATTTCCACATCTTCTGCTTAAATGATTGGCACTTCTAATTGAATGCATCTGTAAATCGGTGTACCGTCATAAACAAATGACAAAACTTCTTACGGTTTGGCTGTTGAAGTTGAACGAATATCAGACGCGTTCAGATACAGGTAAAAATGATCACTCATTGAAGTCGAATGGGATGAAATGACTTATGCCACTTTCAAAATAAACGGTTCACATACAACTGCCACGTACATATGTATATGAATGCGTATGTGTTCACATATGTACATACATATATGTACATATGTATACAATAAACAAAGGAGTGTTACTAAATGTTACTCATACGCCCGGTAGAACTTTTGTAGGTAGGAGCGTTTTTAAATCAGTTATGTTTGAAGCGGTGATTCATGAACCGCCATCGGCACTGTGCGTGTGTACATGTATACTTAGGTAGATATTTATAAATAAGTACATACATGTTTGTGTATAAAATTCGATATTAGCACGAGGAACGCAACCG